TTAGTAGAGATGGGGTTTCGCCACGTTGGCCAGGCTGGTCTTGGACTCTTAACCTCAGGTGATACACTCCCTCAGCCTTCCGAAGTGCTGGATTACAGGCATGAGCCGCCAGAGCCACCACATGTCTAATAATCAATTTTTGGTCCTCATTTTAACTAGCATTCACAGCAGCATATTAAACTATAGCAGCACCTTGAGGTGGCTTTCCTCTTACCACTTGAATTGCTCTGTGTCCTTTGCCAGCTGTTTTTCTCTATCTGGCTTCGAAATGTTGACATTCCCTTTTTTTTTTTTTTTTTTTTTTTTTTTTTTTTTTTTTTTTTTTTTTTTTTTTTTTTTTTTTTTTTTTTTTTTTTTTTTTTTTTTTTTTTTTTGAGATGGAGTTTCACTCTTGTTGCCCAGGCTAGAGTGCAATGGCACGATCTCATCTCACTGCAACCTCCACCTCCTGGATTCAAGTGATTCTCCTGCCTCAGCCCCCTGAGTTGTTGAGATTACTGGCATGTGCCACCACACCCGACTAATTTTGTATTTTTGGTAGAGATGGGGTTTCACCATGTTGGCCAGGCTGGTCTCAAACTCCTGACCTCAAGTGATCCACCTATCTTGGCCTCACAGTATGCTGGAAATTACAGTCATGAGCCACCAAACGCAGCTGAAATGTTGACATTCCTAAAGCCTTAGACCTGTGGCTCTTATATTTCTTCGAAAAAGAAAAAAAAAAAAGACAGCTGGAGCAGCTGCTTAGTGAATTCTTTTTTTTTTTTTTTTTTTTTTTTTGACACAAGATCTTGCTCTGTTGACCAGTCTGGAGTAGAGTGCCACGATCATAGCTCACTGTAACCTTGAATTGCAGGCTCAAGCCATCCTATAATCTCAACCTCCCTAGTGGCCAGGACTACCAGCACACACCACCATGCCTGGCTCCTACCTTATTATTATTTTTTTGATACAGAGTCTTGCTTTGTTGCCAGGCTGGAGCCCATTGATGCAATCCCAGCTCAGGGCAACCTCTGCCTTCCAGGTTCAAGCAATTCTCCTGCCTCTGCCTCCTGAGTAGCTGGGACTACAGGCGCATGCTACCACCCCCAGCTAATTTTTATATTTTAGTGCAGACAGGGATTCACCATGTTGGCCGGGATTGTCTTGATCTCTTGACCTCATGATCCACCTGCCTTGGGCTCCCAAAGTGCTGGGATTACAGGTGTGAGCTATGGCACCTGGCCTCCTACATATTCTTTGTTGTTCTTGTTTTTTGTTTATTTATTTTTGTTTGTTTGTTTTGTTTCCTACATATTCTTTATAAGAAATGTCTGGGCATGGTGGCTGACGCCTATAATCCCAGCACTTTGAAAGGCTGAGGCAGGCGGATCAACAGTTCAGGAGTTCAAAACCAGCCTGGCCAAGATGGTGAAACCTTGTCTCTACTAGAAATACAAAAATTAGCTGGGTGTGGTGGCAGGTACTTGTAATCCCAGCTACTCAAGAGGCTGGGGCAGGAGAATCGCTTGACCTGGGAGGCAGAGGTAGCAGTGAGCCAAGATTGCACCACTGCACTCCAGCCTGGGCAACCGAGCAAGACTCCATCCCCAAAAAAAATGTTAAAGACTATACTTTAGGGATCATTTCTATAGTTTGTTCCTAGAGAAGATTCTCTGAACATGTAGAACACTGTACAAAAACCAAATCAAAATGGATTAAAGACTTAAATCTAGGCCAGGCACAGTGGCTCACACCTGTAATTTTAGCACTTTGGGAGGCTGAGGTGGCCGGATCTCCTGAGTTTAGGAGTTCAAGACCAGCCTAGCCAACATGGCAAAACCCCATCTCTACTAAAAATACAAAAATTAGCCAGGCAAGGTGGCACGCGTCTGTAATCCCAGCTACTCAGGAGGCTGAGGCAGAAGAATTGCTTGAATCCAGGAGGCGGAGGTTGCAGTGAGCCGAGATCCCCCATTTCACTCTAGACTGAGTGACAAAAGCGAGGCTCCATCTCAGAAAAAAAAAAAAAAAAAAAAGCTTAAATCTAAGACCTCAAACTATGACTACTACAAGAAAACATTGGGGGAAGTCTCCAGGATGTTGGTTTGGGCAAAAATTCCTTGAGCAATACCCTATAAGCACAGGCAACTAAAGCAAAAATGGACAAATGGGATCCTATCAAGTTAAAAAGCTTCTGCACAGCAAAGGAAACAATAAAGAGACAACCCACAGGTATTTGCAAACTACCCATCTGGCAAGGGATTCATAACCAGAATATTTAAGCAGCTCAGCTCTACAGGAATAAAACTAATAATCCGATCAAAAAATGGGCTAAAGATTTGAATAGACATTTCTCAAAGAAGACATACAAATGGCAAACAGGCATATATGAATAGGTGCTCGACATCATGGATCATCAGAGAAATGAAAATCAAAACTACCATGAGATATCATCTCACCCCAGTTCAAATGGCTTATATCCAAAAGACAGGTAATCACAAATGCTGGAGAGGATTTGGAGAAAAGGGAACCCTTATACACTGTTGTTGAGAATGTGAATTAGTACAACCACTATGGAGAATAGTTTGGAGATTCCTCCACTAGGCATATACTCAATAGGAAATCAGGCTGGGAGCGATGGCTCATGCCTGTAATCCCAACACTTTGGGAGGCTGAAGCGGGTGGATCACTTGAAGTCAGGAGTTCAAGACCAGCCTGGCCAACATGGTGAAACCTCGTCTCTACTACAAATTCAAAAATTTGCTAGGCATGGTGGCCCATGCCTGTAACCCCAGCTACTTGGCAAGCTGAGGCAGAAGAATCACTTGAACCGGGGAGATGAAGGTTGTATTGAGTTGAGATTACACCACTGCACTCCAGCCTGGGCAACAGAGCGAGACTGTCTCAAAAAAATAAAAAAATAAAAAAAAATAAAAAAGATGAGCTGGGTGCAGTGACTCAAGCCTGTAATCCCAACACTTTGGTAGGCCAAGGTG